CTGATTACTCAGCATGATGTGGTCATTCAGCCACCCACAGTGGGCATTCAGCGGTTCTCATGTCACACCCCGTATAGTCAGCAGCTATTCAGGACAGGACCTTCTCAGCCCGGAGCAGGTCACCTCCCAGAAAGAACAGCCAGTCTGGACTCATTTCTCTCCTTTTCATCTCTTCCTTATAGGCATAAACACATGTTAAATTAAACAACCCAGGGACTTCCTTAAAAAAATGCTGCAACTCCTTAAAGCCCTCTATTTGGGGAAGTGGGGTTCATCCAAATAATGTTCTCAGTCTTTGCCATTCAAGTCAAACTTTGTAGATACACGGGTCTAGTCAAGTGTGATTTCATTTCTAATAGTTATTTCATGTCTCTTGCTGACTGAAATTGAATTGCTTGCATTACTTTTGCCTGCTAAAGAATCTTTTTAAATAATATTTTATTGACGTTTTACATATATAAAAGCTAATACAAAACTAAGAAGTACAAACAAAAAAGAAAAAGAGAAATATTAAGAGAAAGATACATAAAAAGTGACTCTCCTCTCCCTCTAAACAAGTATAAGCATTTACAGTAACTTAACACCACCTCTAATATTACAGAAAAAAACCCTCTTCTTCCCATTTCTCATCCCTAAACAATAACCAAATTATAAAAAAAATTCATTGATCAATCTTAGTCAGCAAAAGCATTAAGAATACCAGTAATAATAAACTAAATAAATCTATTTTGCATTTTGACATAACTTTTTCTAGTAAGTAAAACGTAAAAGATCTATCCCCATAGGCATAAGGAATACCAATAATAGTAAGGTATATTTTAAACTAAATCAAATAAATCCCTTTTACATCTGTAAATCATTGTCTTACAATCCCAGTAAAAAAAAAGATTCCAATAATAACAACCCAAAATCAGAACTAATACAATTTAACCCTGATCAGATAAGTCCACTCTGAACTCCTTTTTAAGAGGCTCAATCTTCAGCTGCTTCTTCAAATAAGATCCCACATAGTAATCTCTTATCATTTTCTCCCTGTCTGTTTTCAGAAGCAACTTCAGAGATTTAGTGTTTCCCTTCTGCGGATCTCAAAGTCAGTCTTCTGATTTATGATCTGGATATCCCCTTTAATTATTAAAACATCAACCAGGGAAGTTTGTATATCCATTACAATTTCTTTCCCTTGTAGTCAAGCATTTTCAAATCCGTTTTCACATCCACAGCATCTTTTTGCATATCTTGCATATCTCTTTTATAGTCTGACAATTTTTTAAAGTTCATTTTAAAATTCCTATTCAAATCATCATCAGCTTCTGTTTTATCCAGTGGAATCTTTTCTTCTTCTATAACTTCTGTTAGATCCAGTGTTAGGAATAGGTCCTGAACACATTATTCCCAAACAGATTTAAATTCTTCCATAGTAAGACAATTTTTTTAATTATGTTAACAAGTATCTTTTCCTTTAATTGCTGTCTGGTTCCCTCTACTTAACCTTCAAAGCCCAGTCTTATCTTTTGTTTATTTTCAGAGTGGAAGTTTTCCCACCATAAACTTTCTTACAGTTAATCCCAAAATCATCATTTATATTTTTTATAAAATTCAGAACAAACTATTGAAACTATTCTTTCAGATCCATCTGGCCCCTTAACTGTCCACAGTCAATATTCTTACTCACTCTCGCTATTTTCTAAAAGTTAAAGTTTTTCTTTTTAATCTTCAGACTTACTTAAATCTTCTTTCATCCAGGACAGAAGGAAATTCTCCTAGTGTGCAGCAACTTGCCTTTCAGAAGGTTTTTATTTTCCAAATAAAGCACAAATAGGTAGTTTCTGGTAGTAATTAAAAGAGGAACGGAAAGCAAGTCTGGTGTCCTTTTGAGGCTCCAAGCCACGGCTTGGGCTCAGTGCTTCCTGTGACTCCCAAAGGGCTCGACCTGCTGGGAATCGCAAATTTGCAGCCCCTTCCCAGGGAGCTTCTTTAAGGAGTGCTTGTGGGTGATCCAGATGGAGGCGGTTCTGAAGAGCCAGACTTTTCATCAGCTCTTCTTAATTGCCGCGGTCATCGGCTCCACGAAAACGGAGCCATCCTCAGTCAGCCATTAGTCCTCTGGAAGTTCTCCCTGCTAAAGAATCTCTTCACTGTTTCCCCTTCCTGAATCCAGAAAGGAGGAGGAAAAGCACTTATTTCCTTCTCATCTTTCTGACACCTTAAAAAAGTATTCCCAAATCCATCTCCAGTGAACTATCTGAAAGGGGGAACTTGGTTCTATCTTCATTTTAAGATATTTGTTTCCAGGATTTGTGGAGAGAGATCTTTTCCATCAGGATGACTGATGTATCTCCATTCTTCAGAAGAAGTAATCTTCCATCTCAACCAAGCCATAAGGCAAAACTCATATTTCTCAGCTCGGCTCCTATTTCTTCTAAATGCTCATAAATCAATTAGCCTCTTCGATAAGTCTTTCTCTAGTCTCACCCCAAATCTAATATGGGCAAAGCCTCCTGAAAATTCCATCCAACACTTTTTCTCAAACTCTAACCCTTGGCTAAAATGGCTTGCTATTGCTTTTGGGACACCCTAAGCCTTCCTTCCCTCCTTCCATCTTTTCTTAGATATTACATAATCCTTAGCTTTACATGGGACTTTTGTTTCTACAGCTCTCTCCTTTGCAAAAACAGCCAGACACATTCTTTTGCTTGAAATGTTGTAAATGTGGTTTTCTAGTTAAACCGTCTTACAAATACAATATTATTTATCTTGGAGTTGTAGCATTAATCCTTCTTCTTGCTTATTATATGTCTAACTCTTATTCTATTAATCTACTAATCTAAGGTATTTAATATGTGATTTTAGTTCCCTGATAAATGTTTTGAGCTTGCTTTAGTCCACAAACTACTATTTTTCATAGCATTTTCTGTCTGGTCTTTTTGGGGCATGACATGTTCCTTAGGAGCCCATGATTCAACATCACAAGATCCTGCATGTATGGATTTAATTTGCTAGAAACCGGGATATCATGAGTTCTAATTCCGCCTTAGGCACAGAGCCAGCTGGGTGCCCTCGGGCCGGTCCCTCTCTCTCAGCCCCAGGAAGAAGACCAGGGCAAACCACTTCCAAAAATCTTGCCAAGAAAACTGCAGGGACTTGTCCAGGTGGTTGTGTCAGAGTCTGCACACTCAATCCCAAAGTTCAGTAAATCCTCTGGAGACAAAAAGATCCATCAGAGATTTCTT